CTTGTGTACAATGCTTCTGCGTTTGGGGGCTTGGTGGGTATCTGGGTTCAAGGGCTTTCTGGGTTTAGGGTTTCTGCGTTTGGGGTTTTGGGTTACTGCGGGACATAAGCGACATAAGGGTTAATAATTTCTGGGTTTCGGGGTTTATGGGTTCAGGGGCTCTTCCAAGGATTCTGGATTTTGAGTTTCTGGATGCTTTTGCGCAGGCCCCGCGAACTTAGGTAGGAACCCGAGCAAACAACCACGGCCTGGGAAGCTTGAGTGTGCGCCTTGTCCCGAGGCCCGCTGCCTGCTACTTCTGTGAACTTCTGCGTGGGTGCTGGAAAAATATATGCGGAAACCATGCTCAATATCATGAAAACTATGTTGAGCCATACCCAAATTCAAGCCGAGCCCCGACGCAGACTCAATGACTACCAGCAGGGTCCGAATGGGTGGGTCCGAAAGGGTCCGGCCAGATCTACGGGAGACCCTGGGAACCACCCTTTCGGACCCACCAAACAGGGTCCGAAAGGGTGTCCCCGGGCCGACCCTGCGTATCTCGATCCTATGGTAGTTATAAGTGGAGTTCCAAGCAGGGTAACCAGAATTATAACCCATATTAGGGGACATAACCCAACTACCCATGAACCTTCAAGTAACCCTGAGCCCTGGCCTGCACAGGGCCTTCGCTGGGATGTGTCGTTGGCGCAGCGAGCTCAACGGGCAAAGCAGCGTGTTTTTGGCACATGCAGACAGGAAAGCTCAAAGGTGATATAGGGGCCTAAATGATTACCAAGACTATTTCGAGGGGTTCCTTGTTATAGTTATGGTATAATGGGACTCAAAACCCTATTCTAACTGTTAGGTTAAGGCCCCATATTAACAGGCGTGAGTTTCCCCTGTCACACAACAACGCATACAACACGACAACATGCAAGCAGCATTCAGCCGCTGACCGAGCAAACTCCCGTATGCACCTCAAGAGATCTGGAGCCACGGGTACGCATGATCCCCCCTGTTTTGAAGGCTGCTTGCCGAAAGCCTGAGCCGGCAGCACTTCGACAGCTTCACGTATTGCGCGGCTATCAGTGCCTGTCCGAGCCTCAAGCCTTTGTGTTGTGTTATCCGAGGACTGTTGAGCTTATTGGAAATGCACCGCTTAGCATGCACATCGTGCGAGAATAACGTCGTTCGTCCTCTTGGTTCCAAGCGCAGTAGCGCGGTACTTTCAGTAGTTTTACCGCCGGTCCACGACTTGTATCCGACATCTGTCTTTGCTTCAAAGGCGAGAAGGGATTCGAATGGCAACGTGCTGTTGCCTTGCCGTTACCTCGGTCCTTGCGTTGACATGAGCACCTATTATCTTCTCCCGATGGTTTCTGGTACCGTGCGACATCGGTCCGGCAGCTTCTTTTGTTCGCCTACTTGGAGGATCATGGGACTTGGTAAGTAAGCTTGTTTTAAGTACCTTAACTGGGGTTGTAAGTGTCAGCACAGCTACCCTAATTATATCCCTACTTACTAAGTCCCATGATCCTTTAAGCAATGTTACACTGTAGGTTCTGTGAGATGACATCCATGGAGATGCAACCGGACAGCATTGCCTACAACGCATTGTTCCTCCGCCCTGTCTTTTCTGCTTTCCTAGTGGCGCCGGTATAGATACGTAACATACATAAATATGTGTATATCTATATATATATATATATGTACATATATATATATATATAAAGAGATGTATTTATATGTATATACGCTGTATACTACCCGTACTTACTATGCGCGTGTATGTTACATAGCATATACCTTGAAGCAGAATCCGTTCCGAACAAGTGGCGTGAGCTGCAGTCAAGCACCCATGCCAGGATCCTTGCGCTGGATCGCACATTCAAGTGGGCATGTACCTCGGAAGCCGCTGCTTTTGTGGAAAGTTTAGGGCCTCGGCTCTAGGTTTGGGTTTGCTCGGTACTTTCGTTTCAGAGCAAAGCAGGGAAAGAGAACACTAGACTTTTTGCGAGGGTGCTGCAACTCCCGTAGCTTGCAGTCCGAGGAGCTCGCTTTGCTATGGTGCAAACCTCGGCAAGGAGTTTGTTGAACTGGAGTTCTGGAGGGAATCAGATGTTGATTCGCAATCAAGCAGTCTCGAAGCACGCTCGGCCGTGAAGCAACTGGAAAGCCGTGTGTTTCACATGTCATGATATTTTGTCTCTCGGACCCCAGGGCAGGTGAGGCAGGGTTTTGTCTCCTTTGGAGAAGTCTCGGAAATCGTCTCGAGCTGCAGGATCTGTCGTAACCTGATGCCAGCGTGGCATGCGAGGTGCTTATCAGCGCTGAAGACCGGAGCTGCTGATCAGGCTTTCACAGCGGTCTTCGTGCCCCCACGATGTCACGTCAAAATTCACGCAGAAATCTTCCCTGCAGCTACAACCGGCGCAGGGGACGTTACTGGGTGCAATCGGTGCCCTGGCCACATCCGGGCAGTGGGTGGAGAGCTCAGCTGTTGACTTCATGCTGCTCAATCGCTGCGTTCTGGTTGTGGCCTGAGACTCGCACCGTAGCGTAGTCGTGACGGAACAAACGCCGGCGGCAGCATCACATCATGACTCAGGAGCAGAGTTTGCAGCTGCTTTTGCTTCCTGCTGGCGACCCAGACAAGCATGTCGGGATACAGGTGCGCGATGGTGCGCGTGTGTGCGTGTTTGTGTTGTAGGTGATGTGCAGATGCAGACACTTTTTTGGCTGGGCTGTTTTGACCCAGGTCTCAAGCCGCCTTCCCTGGCCAGACCTGGATGCCTATGGTTTGGCTCTCGGGCAACTGCTGCACTGGGAAGATGTAAATGTGTCGCCAAGCACCGTTCAGGACATGCACTTCTGGCAGCCTATCGAAGTGAGCACTCAGAGGCCACGACCCGTGCTGTGCCTCTCCGAAGAGGATGCTCATATCATCTACAGGAAGAGTTCGCATGCTGCCTGTGGCAGGTATGGCAAGCCTGCTTAGCCATGCTGATGGACATGCCGCGGTAGCCTGAGACTTGCCGTTATCGCAAAAGCAATGCCGCAGCTCAAGAGAGATGCCAGAAAGACATGGTTGCTGCGAGAGGCAGGCACAGGTGGCATAGGGTAGCGTCAGAGTATTAACCGCGCACAACACTCCCATAATTACATCACAAAGACACACACACACACACGCGCGCGCGCACGCACACAGACAGCATTGTCCATGTTCAGGCGGCAGATGCTTCATCCAGGACCTTCTGAGCGCACACCTCGGCAATTGTCTGAGCCACGTAAACAAACGAAAAACCAAAGCCTCAAGCAAGCGTACAGCGCATGCAGAACAAACAAACAAGCAGTTTTCCGGGTAATCTGTCGGGATGGGGCCTGAAATAGCTTGGGAGATGAGGATTTTAAGTTCAGGGGCTGTCGTGGGGCAGTGGTCGAAGAGAGCTTCGGGGACAACGGGGAGTGTACTTGGAATTCTGAGTGCGTTTGAAGGAAGGCGAATTGAGTCTTCTGACTGGGGCCCGCTTGTAGCTCTAGCGTTCAAAATCATGTCAACCTCTCATTTGTTGTGAATGTGTATCCTTGCTGAACTTGAAATTCGCCCTCCGTAAGTCTGGGATACCTATTGATGGCAGCCCCCTGCGTCAAGCACTGACCACAGGTTTGCCTGTGCTGCCCGGATATGCGGCAGAGGCTCCATCACTCTGCCGGGCGCAGGTTGTTTCGTCAAATCTGCACGGAGTGTAGGGTCAGACAGATTCGTAACACTATGACGCAGTACACCCTTCTAGATTCTAGTCCCCCAGATACTTATATAATCTATCCCTGCATGCTCCGAAATCCTCGAAGTTTTGCTCAGGCCAAACTTGCATTGTGCTTGTTTTTGATGCAGCTTTTGTGGCTTGGGGCCTGGTCTTGGGGACTACAGCGCCACTCGTAAAGACCGTAGATGACGGAAGCGTCCCTTAAGGTGCACTGGGCAACAGATCTACTGAGCTACCATCTGACAGGTCCGGCATGAATCAAGAGCAGTACATTCGGCAAACTGAACACGTTAATCAATCTCTCACACGAACCACAGCCAACCACACCGAATCCCACAGTTTCCTCAGTCTACACATGATGAAGTCGCCAATGGCGTGGCTTCTGTTCAGCAGCTCGGTGTGGCTGCTTGCCTTGTCAGGCTGGAAGTTCGACGAAGAATTGACGGAGCTCATGTAAGACAAGTGTAAAATGCAGAAGTGAAATCGGTAGAAAAGATTGATGCAAGACAGCTCTTCCTGCAAAGCGAAGCATGTGGGAGGCCGCAGACAGTGGTCCCATATCCGCCCGGAAAAGACCCCGAAATCAGGTAACATAGAAATCTACATAAGTACCAATGATGCAACTGCTTTTCCTTGCATTCCGCTTTGCAGCATGGTTCTACACCTAGTCTCTGAATGGTTTCAAGGTCACAATATACCGCAAAACCCTGTTACTAACTATTCCAAATCTCCCCTAGTTACTGTAACTAGGGGAGATGTACGCATGATGGCTCCCTAGCGAGTCCCGACCTTCGCTGGGCCCGATGAGAATGGGATTTAGGAGTTTAGGGCTTACGGTATACAACACTGCATCATAGGGCTGGCGTTGCAATGTCATGGTTTGTCTGTTTGCGCTTGTTGTGAGTGTACACGTTTCCATGGTGGATTTGGTAACAAAAACAGCAACAAACATACAGAAGGTTAGGTGTAGTAGTAAAATCTGCACGTCAGTCGGCACAAAGAACGTGTGTCCTGAAATCGGCCGATGCCATCATCTCACACTACATCTACAGTGTCTGTGTCTGTGGGCAGGGACCTTGTGACAGATTGTATTTGTGCTGGAGACGGTGGTTGTTCCTATTGCTTGTGTTGTGTGGCTTGCAGATGCTTGCAGTAACCTAACAAGTCTCACTAGCAGTACGTATCTCTGAGTAAACACGCTAAGTTTTGCATTCATGGGTGAATATGTTATGTGGCTGTTCCGCCATGTACATGTTTGTACAACTACGTTCGTCTCGTCGGGCAGCAGGTGCGGATGTGCCGGATCAAGAGCAAAGAATCGTTCTACCACTCATCCACACGCCATCTACCCAGACCCTTCTTGGCCGCCGCCTAAACATACCGTCGGATTCACATCCGAATATCCTGGGAAACTACGCCGCTTGGCCTTGTGGTTTCCACAATTCTAGAAGTATCCTGATATTATGGTATATTAAAGTACATGATACTGTATATCATGGTATATCATAGTCGGAGAACTTGCTCTTGAAGCAGCGAGCAAATTCTGCTTGCAGCTACTTCAAGGTTCATGGGATTTAGTAACTAGGGTTTTAATTAGGGTAACTATACTTATAACCCCAATTAAGGTACTTATAACCTCCATGATCCTCCAAGTAGCGCTGAGGACAATGTTCAGTACCATGTGGAGATCGAGGTCGGTGTGGACTGTGCCGGCAAGACGCGGCAAAAGTTTCAGGTCGTTCCAGACACCGGCAGCTCCGACGCTCCAACATTGTTGTGGAAGCAAACACGTCGTAGTCGTCGCAGCTGTAAGACTCGTCGTCGTACTAAATTTAGGAGTGTAAGTAGCACTGGTAGTAGTAGTCGTCGTCGTAGGTCGCAGTAGGTAGTAGCACTAGTAGTAGTCGTAGTCGTAGTCGTAGTCGTCGTCGTAGTAGTAGTAGTAGTAGTGGTAGTAGTGGTAGTTGTTGTTGTTGTTGCAGTACAAGTCGCAGTACTAGACGCAGGCGTAGTGGCAGTGGCAGCTGCTGTTGATGATTTGGGAGTCATTCCACTGCTGCGACGACCTTTGTTCTGTGCCGGAGGCATTGCCCTTTTTCGACGTCGGTTGCTTGAGGCTGTGGGGCTTCTTCCATTATTACTACTACTACAGCTACAACTACAACTACTACTTCTACTACTACGTCTACTACTATTTTGTAAATTCTACTACTACTTCTACTTCTACTACTACTGCTACTACTACTGCTACTACTACTACTACTACTACTACTACTACTACTACTACTACTACTACTACTACTAGTACTAGTACTACTAGTACTGCTAGTACTGCTACTACTACGACTAGTGATCCCAGCGGCACGGGACAGCTAAGGACTTGTGGGTTCCAGCCGAAAACTGCTCGAAGTGTAGAACCGGCACTGCGAAGTTCGACATCAGCCAGTCCTGCAACGCAGTCCAAGTCGGCAATCGGATACTCGGTGGCACTTTGGGGAGACTTCTCATTAAATGTGTCCCGTATGGTTCCTGTAGAGGAAGCCATTCATAGTCTTCAGGGGCCCCAAAACCCCTCAACCCAGGATAACATTCCGGTACGGCGACGGCACTGTGGCGACTGGAGGCTCCTTTTATGATGCGGTGAAGATTGGGGACCTAGAGGTTGCAAAGCAGCTTCTGATCCAGGTCGACACCATGGAGTCGGACTTTGATGTTCAACCAGAAAGCTTTCTCTAGAACCTCTGTTTCTAGAAGGCCTTGCTAGGATTCTAGGATTCCGAAGTACTTTGAAGTGTGGCACTTGTAAGGACACTCACATGAAGTCTGATGGCATCCTGGGCCTCGCCCACCACTATGCCTCGGACCGGGGATTGCGTGGGGAGACCTTTGTGTCCACCTTGTTTCGGGAACATCCCCACCTCCCGGCACAGTTTTCCTTCTATCTGACTGGTCGAGGAACAGCAGGAGGAAGGTCTGAACTCGTGTTTGGAAACCCAGACTTGGCACACCATTCAAAGGAAACCGAGTTTCAGTACGGCAAGGGTGACTATATGTCCACGACAGAACTCTGGCTAACCAGCGTTTGGTCTATTGGCTGGAGTGGGACAGGTGTTGATGTGACCTTCCCCGACCGTGGTACTCTGGGGGCGCCAGCACTGATCGACTCCGGATCATCACTGCTCGTCATCGAGCCTGGGGTGTATGACCGCCTTATCAGTGAGCTGAAATGGCGGTTCACGAATTGCCATGACCTGCCAGAGCAGCAAATCATGAGCTGCGACTGTCCGCCGGCGAACGACTTGAGCCGGGTTCCACAACTGGTCATCAATGTAATTGATGAGCAGTCTCAGCAGTTTCCTCTTTGCATGTCACCGGATGAGTACATTCTGGAGTCGGTGGACCCAATAGATGGAAGGACATCATGCGTACCTTCCATTCAACGTGGATCTTCAAGTCAGCCGGTCCCATTGATTTTCGGCATGACATTCATGAGGGCCTTTTATACCACCTTCGACCTAAAGAATGGCCGGATCGGATTTGCTCGGAGCAACATGTCACCGCTTGGCGGCAATGCAAAGTGCTCTGCAGATGCACAGCCTTTGCTTCGACGTGGCATTTGGTTCGCATCACTGCTGGTTGCTGTCGGATCTGTGATTTTTGCCTGTTATGTCTTTTTGGTGCCTGCTGGTCGGGTTGACATTTCACGGACGCGAAGCCGGGAAGCCCAAGAAGGGCTCGGGGCAGCTCCGGCATCTGGGATTTGAGGCGCACTAATGATAATGCTCTTTTGCTGCATTCGACACCCATGGTTTTCCAGTGCTGTCGCTGTGCTGTTTCTATTGCACTGCTTGATGCAGCCTGAATCAGACTGCTGCAGAATGCTTCATATAGGTTTCATCTAGTGTGGTTGACGGAACAACCGCGTTTCACATACGGGTCGAAACGATCAGATGCCAAAGAGTCGCGCAAACTAAAGCTCAGCGAGGTGCAGTAGCGGTTGCGCATCAGGAGGTTGTGGAGCCTTAAAACTATATACATGTATATGTATATATATATACAGATGGATAAACATATATATTTGTATACAAGTGTATATATATATATAGATATATATATATATATACAGATAAAAAGTATAAGTATATATATATATAATCAAGTGAAATATAAGCATTTCTTTGTCGTCGCCATGTTTGCTGTGCCAGGGAAGCAGTGGCTGGAGGCACTTGCACTCCAGTGGGCTGCGAGCTGTCGTGACCCCAGAAGTGCTGACATGCTTTTCTTCGTCTCGGAGATAATCGAACGCAGGAGGTCTTTCTTCACTGCAGGCCTCGTGAGAGGGGCGGCGATGTGCATTCGCAACAACTCCAACCATATATGCGTTAAGACATACATTGACATATGTACCGTATATATATATATATTGAAATTACAACAGCCTCTTTCGCTTGACCATGAAGCTCGGGCTTGTGGAAGGCAAGGCGCAGCCGCTGCAGGCCTCCCTCCTTCAGGTGTATGGTTTAGGGGTTTGGGGCTTGTCGGCTTCCATGGGAAATGTTGGACATTCTGGCTGTACTTCCTGGTGTCGTAGTGGAGATGCGCGGTAGGGTGATCCGAATGCGACACCGCAAGTCGAGTGATGCTGCGACTCGCCGGACTGCTTACAGCTTGCGGTATAGTGGTGTGTAGACCCAGCCTGATCTCATGGAGTTCGGAGGAAGCAACTTTTGTGAGTGTTTCGTCTCGAACGCGCGGCTGGCCAGCGTACCTCAGTAGCTGCCGGACAGGCTGGCCAGGAGATTGACAGTGCCTTCACTTGGGCTCACGAGGCAGACGAAGTCCTGTTGTGGTTGGTGCCAGTTTTCCACTGCGCCTAAGATGCTGCTCTTCTTGATCGCGCGGTCTGGGGTTTCGGGAACCCTGCACCCTGAATCCTAAACCCTAGAAGTAGCCTAGTGTAGTGTTTTCGCAGCGAGTGCCGAAGTCATGCAGCATGTACGAAGGCTGCCAGCAGCTCTGCCCCGGCGAATGTTGCTGTCGCGCCTCTTCCGATTTGAGGGAAAAGGGGCCTCCAGGTCTTTTTCGTGTGTGCGTGTGTATATATGTATGTATGTATGTATATATATATATATATATATATATATATATATGATCCCGGTTCGGCCGGCCCCCTCCCCCTCCCCCCCGCAATGGTTCCTCCTCCCCCTCCTGTGGTGTGGTGTGGTTGTGGGTTGCTTCACCCTCCCTTGGTGTGGTGTGGTGTGGTTCGGGAGTGGGTCTGCTTAGGCTGGTTACCCCACTCCCCCCTGTGGTGTGGTGTGGTTTGGGTTTCCTGCGTGGGTCTGCTGTGGTGTGGTGTGGCCCCCTCCCTGTGCCCCCCTGTGGCGTGGTGCGGTTTGGGTTTCCTGCGTGGGTCTGCTTGGCGTGTGAGCCCTCGTGTGGACACACAGATTCGGCTTGGGGAGCGTGGGGGGGGGGGGGATACCATTGGGGGGGGGGGGGGGGGGGGGGGGGGGGGGGGGGTCGGTGAACCGAGAACCGGGATCATATATATATATATATATATGTATATTGACATCTACACATAGACAATCATAGACATATATACATTTATACATATATACATACATACATGTATACATATATACAGATATATATATATATATATGTATATATGCATATATATATATATATGTATGCCTGCTTGGTTATTCATATTGAAGTCTTTCTCTGTATATCTATCTACTTGTATGATTTAGCTGGGCTATTGGCCTCGGTATCCCTCACCCTCCGGCTTAGACGTGGCGTTGTAGCCGCACCAGCTTTGACCACTTGACTGCCAAAGATTAGAAGAGATTTACAGTAATCTATTTGCTGGTGTTTTTTCGGATGCCCGTATGCGGATAATTCGAACATGACAACTACGTCAGCCTTATCACGATTGTTTCTATTCGAGCTTTGGTCAGCACAAGCAGTTCACCCATCAACGAGCCATCCTCATGCTTGTCGCAGTGCTTGCTCAATGAGGCTCCGTGTGCCCGGTTGCTCTACCAGTGTGGGCTGTGTCGCCACTGCACCGCAAATCGCGATGCCGTTCCTGCAAGATCAATCGCCCATGTCATAGCAGCTACGGTTTGCTTACCTTTGCCTGCTGCCATGCCGTTTCAACGAACTGTCTTTTGTTTTATTGCTGATGCATCTTCTCAACTAGCTGTGCCGTGCCTGCCCCGCAGTTTGCTTGCTACAGTATCTTGTTGGCTCGCGGTATCTCGCGATGTTCCGAAACACCCCGTGGGGAGCCGCAAAAAAAATTCATCGACGCAAGGGTCGGCATCGAGGGGTTGTGCGGACCGGACGAACTGAAGTGCCTCCACATGTCAGGCTGCAGCGTGGCAACGCAGCTCTTCAGCCCCACCCCGATGCCCAACAAGCGAGAATTTCTCAACCGCAGGCTTTGCCTGAAAAGCACCTCCTTGCACCCTTCCGTCGCACAGTCTCGAAACATGTTGCGCGTTGGTTTCCGCAGTGGGCTGCGCTTGCATCCCAACGAGGCTGGACATCTGTTTTTTTTTATGCCACGAAAATTGGCCCCGGCCATCACCGCAGGTAACAGGAATCAGATGCACCGCCAAGGATGACATCTTCAGCAGTTGCCTGCGAGGCGCGTGACGACGATCAATCTGCCGATTCGTGACATTCTTTGCTTTGGCATCTTCTGAGTTTTTATCCGTTTCTTCCGTAACATATGCACAGTCCCCGTCGTCAGCCGCGGATGAGAATGTTGCCGTCGATCCCTTCCAGAAGTTCTCTCCCCGGTCGCGGCAGTTCTTCCGCTACAGGGACCATGCGTTGGTTTGCCTCGCACCAGCATTTGCCAACGGTGCCTTGGTCGCTGCTTGGTGCAATCAAGGCCCCGTCGCCGGTGGGCGCAAGCACAGCTATATTTTTTGCTCGGGAGCCCACGCCCACTACGCACCTGTTCTTGATTAGTCTGGCCGCATCTGCAGTGAAGATCCTCGAAAGTTCAAACGTGAAAATCCTTTTCCGATGTTCCCTCAGCCTTTGCATCCTCTGCTTTTTTGGGACTCTACCGCAAGCGTGCACTGGAGCCATACGCGGTGCTTCGCCGAATTGCACGAACTTTTCGCGTGGGCATCAGGTGTTATTTCCTATGCGAGTTGTGTGACATGCACACGGAATTTCCTCACCCATAATCACCCATGCATTGAGTGGGGCCTGCCGAGTTCTTATGCGGCAGGCGGTAGGCTAGTTCTACGGCAGCCCCAGCACCTACTCGCAAGGCGACCCACTCATGCCGGCACTACATGCCCTCGCCCAGGAGCCTGCCTTCGGGATGTTCAGCACCAACTGCATGCCAGCGGGCTGTTCTTCAGTTTCTTGGACGACACTTTTGTTTGGAACGCGGCCGGCGAGGACCCAGCGAGGATCGCCCAGTTACATGCCCGCCATTGCTGCCCCACGGCGGTCGTGTGGGTAAACGACTGGTCCTTGCCACCAGGCCAAGGAGGTCTCCTTGCGTTGAGCTCGGTCCACCGGCATCTTTTGCTTACATGCGCGGAACACAGTAGTCTTCTCCGCCGCAGATTGACAACGATGCCGGCCGCGTGGCTCATCCATTGGATTCCTCCGGTATGGCGCGTGCCGTCGAGAAAAGCTACCTTTTGCGTGTGTTGCATTCCCGTTGCTTTATGCGGGCTTGTATGTGCGGCGCTGCATCGGGCCGAAGTGATTCCAGCTGGGGGCTCAAATGCTTCTTTAAAGATGCTACACCGTCCATCTCAGGTTAAATCAGCTATTTGAATTATGGGCACATGTTAGGTGAAGTTGGTTGCTACATCATGCATTTCGGCGCGTGTCCTTATTGAGCGACTCAGCTTCAGTCCTTTGCATGCAGTAGTACGCTGTCGCCACAACAAACCCGAAAGCGCAAGCGGGAGGGCAGTGCAGGCGGCAACACAATCCCCGTGTCTACACATCATCAGACCTACATGCCCCCATCAGCAGCTGAGATGGGGGGGGTGCGGGGTTGAAATGGAGCAGTGTAGCTCGATATATTGATTTGGGAACCATAGTGTATCTTCAAGGTGTAAGCTAGTGGAAGCGGAAATGGGGCGATGCAAGATCCAACAACAGTACTTGCACACGCCCTGGCGGATCACCTTGCTTCATGCGAAGCATATCAAAGCACACAAGGGCAAGCATTTCATTTTTTTCGCGAACTACGCACCCCTGAACCCTAGACATCCCTAAACCTTAACCCGGCAACCCTGGATCCAGAAACCCTGAATCCCTGAACCCCAAACCTCAACCCGTAAACCCTAGATCCAGAAACCCTGAACCCCTGAACCCCAAACCTCAACCTTTACACCCTGAATCCAGGAACCCTGAAACCCAAACCCAGAAACCGCAAGCCCAGAAATCCCAGAATTACGCCCGGAACGTAGAAACAACACCCTAGCTAGGCCCAGACCCATGCAGAGATATACCCTCAAGCTCTGAACACAGAAGCCCCAGTTCAAAAACCCGGGACCCGGACCCCAAACCCAGAAGCCCTGAACGCGACATCCCTGAAGCCTTATAGCTTGAAACCAGAAACCCTACACTCAGGAGACCTTGACTTAGACCCTACAGCAGACGTATACTCGTAAGCTTTGAACCGACAGCCACCGAATCCAGAAACCCTGGACCCAAACCCTTGAACCCTTGTATCGTAACGGCCAAACCCAAAAACCCCAAGCCGAGA